GGTATGCTATGATAAGAAGAAGACTATCGGGTTGTTCACTTGGAAGTGAACTCGTTACTTGTATCAAAGATGTCAAACTAATGTGATAAGATTGATAACTAAGTTGAGCACGAAGCTCCTATCTAATGGCAGACGTGCCAGTCTTATATAGAACCTTCGTTCTCTGCTAGATCGCGTACATCGCTTTCGTCGCTCGCGACTTGGGCGATATAGGCGATCATGATCACGTGACTCTTCTTATACTAAGAAATCCCTGGATCGCTTAGCTAGCCTAAGCATCCCTATTTGCTATAAGAGATATAATAGTGCTTAACCTGTCAGGGCGCCGCCTGGTCTTCACTCATCACGTGCTCACACGTGATTCGTGACATTATTCGAATAATCTCGACTTTTTCTAACTCTCGAATAGCCCTTAGATAACCCTTATATAGCCTATAAATAGCCCTTATATAAATATTAAACGTTATAGTATGATAAAATTAATATTCTAATCTTAGTACTAGAATCGTTTATTTAGGGTATATTTAGCTCGTATAACTTAGAGATTTATACTATATAAGAAGATTTATATATATATATTTAGATAGCCGTATAAGTTTTTTACTAAATTAGCTATAAATCTATTATAAATCTAAATATAAAAGTTTTTAGATTTATACTACTAAAATAAAAATATAAAAGAATTAAAGTCTCTACTTTATACTTCTTTTACTTTTATATAAATCTCTATATAAATCTTTTAGTTCTATATACTACTATAGTACTAAAACCTAGTTAAATCTACCTAGCTCGCTTAGAACTAGCTTAATATAAGTAAATAACCTCTAAAGGTAGAGTTTATAACGAGTTCTAGGTAGAGTTCTCGGATAATCTACCTAGTAATATAGGATTCTAGGTCTTCTTTTTCGCGGTATATTATATTTATATATATATAAAGGTTGTAACGGAACGGTGAAGGATACTGCTATTCCACTACTTAGAATCTAAAGCTAAGGAGAGAAGAGCTATCTGAGGAGAAAACCCGAGGTTCTTATGCCAGAAACACCACACACCCAACAGCTCCTTATCCCCCGCGTCTCCCACATCCCTTATCACGCCACGATGAGGGATTTGATGTGTTGTCGTGTTTGCTTAAAGAGTTTTCTGAGGGAGTTGTGTGTTGGCATGTTTGCTTGAAGAGTTTTCCTTCATTGTTTGTTTGCTTGAAGCGTGGGACATGCATGCTCGCTTAGGCAGCCACTTGTCCCGCGGTCACGAGGAAGACTAACCGAATCGCGACATTCGACCCGTGACAATCTAGAGCTATTATAAGTATTATTCGGAAAGGTTCTTTTTAATAAAATAAAGTAGATAAGAATATACTAGTCTATTAAATATTCTAGGTATAATCATTTAAGCTTTATTCGAGAGTATAATAGATATATATACGTTAGAGTAGTAAGAACTAAACTAATAAGTACTTTCTAAACTAAGTTAATAATCTATAGAAATACTAATTAGTATTAGTATAACTTAGTAGAATAAATATAAGATATATTACGGTACTATAAGAGTAAATAATAAGTATATAAAATAGTAATATTAATTATTAATATTTTATTTACCATATAGAATCTAGGCTAATATATAGCCTAGATTATTACGTAAATAAATACGTAAATATATTATAATAATATATATTTCTTCTAAATTAGTTCTTAAAAGCTATTACTTATAAGATTAAGTAAAATCGCTCTATAGATCTTAAAGGTCTAAGGTATGTTACTTCCCTCTAGGAACTCGGTAGTAGAGATTCTTATATATATACGAAAATTTCGTATATAAGTCTAATTAAGTAGTTAAAAGTAGAGATTTAAGTACTATGAAGTAGGCGTCTCTACTTTTCGGATTTTATGCTTTATTATCCCCTACTAAGCGAAAACAGAGGGTATTTTAGAAGAAAATATTATACTTTTAGGAACTAATATAGCCTATAATTAGCTTTTAAGAGAGTTTTAGTATAACCCGAGCTTTCCGTTAGCTATTTATCTATATTAGAGGGCCTTTCCCCCTCCCTTTACCTTTATAAACTACCTATAAGTACTTAGTCGTTTTTACCTATCCTTCTCTCTCTGTGACGACACGTACGCAAGGCCCACGGTGTAGGTTGTGGAATCGTAGAACTGTCAATCAAACAAAGATTCTAAGCTGAGGAGAAGAGGAGAGCTCGAGAGAGCTTCGATCTAAATACTTGGTGTGGGTCGCTAAGCGAGACCACGTGATCCGAATGGTGGTGACGGTTAGAACCGTCACACTCTCTTCCTCTCTACCTATAAGTACTTAGCCGTTTCTACCTATCCCTCCCCCTCTATTCCTTCCCCTCTATTCCTTCCCTCTATCCCTCCTTATAAGTACTTTCCTAATTTACTATCCTATAAGTCTCTACTTCTATTATACCTCTATTACCGCCCCCCCTCTTTCCTATAAACAAGTAAACATATAAATACGTAAACAAGTAAATAGAGAACTACGTCTTTAGTATAATATTTAAGGTTTTACGCCTACCGTTAGTATACGAAAAAATACGCGCTAGGGATAGTTTTATACCCCGGGATAGCCCGCGGCAGCTGTTAGATATTTTCGTATATATCTAGCCTCGAGTTCCTATAGGGCTCGCTTCTCGTATATCCTAATAAAATTCTAGACGCTATTCGAAGGAAATTTCTATTTATCTACCTAGAAACCGCTTAAACTAGTAAGTTACTTAAAGACTAGGTAACATGTTTTAGAATAAGGTTATAATTATTAATTATTAAGAAATAAACAAAATTTAGCTTTTTATTTGAATCTAAGTAAAATTAACCTCTCTAGTAATTCTCTAAGAAATTAAATAATATTTTCTCTATAAAAGACCTACCAAATCCTCTATATTTACTATAAGAAGTTATTATACTAAATATCTAGTATAAGTAATCTAATTCCCTGAGTATACAAGTACAAAATAAAAATGAGAATTTATAAAGGGGTTTAGCAAATATCTGGCTAACACTATAAATCAAACCCTATGATTCAGATGGTATTCCCTCAAATTTGATGTCAAGGCCCTAACAAAGTGATATTTCTAGAATGTTTATTTCATTCGGGTTTTTTCTTTTTTGAAAATCCATATATTAATTAATGTATCTATCTACCTAAGTAAGCCAGTTTTTAAGCATGAGAATGAAGCCTGTGAATTGACAGAGAAGAAGGATATCTTGGAAGAATGTTCCCTTCGTGGCCGTGACTTAACATACAAGCTGTAGCAAGCAATTAATGTATCTTCAATATAGTGTGTCGAAGAGTCGAGAAGACTGTGTATGATGTAATCCCCTAAGTTTTATGCAACAGGTTCCAAAAACTCCAAAGGTAGTGCTATATTATAGTTGTTGAGGCGCGGGATACTATCCACCTTTCTGAAAATGTCTGCATGCAGGACATAATACGTTCGGGTCACCAGATCTCCACTCGGCCACATCAATCCGAGAAGACTTCCTCAATTTTGCTCCCTCCGATCCATTGGTATCTCCAAACTCTCCCGCATCCGCTTTCGCCATCCAGAAAGACTTCCTTGTTGGTCGGTATCGCATACGTTCCATACAAATTTGGAATCCTTTCCTTCTTCGACCTTGCTCAATCGGAGGGCCCAATTGTTCGAGAAAAACCAGCTTCGACTCTCGACAGATATCGCATTCTGCCACCCATTGGTAATTATCTCCATAGAAGACAAAATGATTGAATCCGAACGAAGAATATAGTGGGCCCTCGCGGAGGATAGGCTTAAGGAGGCGCATGAAGTAGATGCATGTGAACGCCAAACAGAGCTGGTCCTTTTGGTATTCAAGATTGCTTAAGACCATAAGCTGGAGTTCGGGAAGGAGGCGGAGCAGTGGTCCAGAGAGAACTGGTTCATACACGAACTGGCAAAATTAGCATATACACTTCTTATAAACTGGGAAATAAATATACCTTTTTCGGAACGAAGAACATCACGTATCTTGGTTTGTGATCTCTGGCCGTTAAGAAATCGAACAATTCCTTGCTGGTAACTTCATTTTTGGTGTCTTCATCATTGGTGCCTTCGTTGTCGACGTCTTCATCCTCAGTGTGTTCATAGTCAGGCCAATGGGAACACATGTTGGGCCAGAAGTCAAATTGGAACCTAGAGGCTCAAGACCTGGAAGGTGAAATTTAAAGTCTTGATTGAGTTGGACAGTCTGGAAATGAAGTTTGATAAAAGCAGACAGGGTCAGCTCTGTGATTTGAGGGGGTTTGGATACAAACTTGTGGTGTCAATGTTTTCAAGAGAGTATGCAGAAATCAGAAATCAGAAAGAAAGAAAGAAAGAAAGAAAGAAAGAGCAGTTTAGTCAATTATGGCTATTCTCAGATTTCCCTCAACCTAGGAAGCTCCTTCCTTCATAGATGCGTACAAGTCTGAGTACGCGACAAGAATCACGTTACCTCTACTATATGAACCACCCCAGCCCGCCTGCAGTCGCAGCTCTCCGCACTTGCCATAAACAACCACAGATGATATCTCAATACAAGCAAATTTCCATCCTGTACTCAGAAGTCCACCAATAACCTCTCCCAATACCAAAACTCCAGACATTTCCGCATCTCTTCCCTAGATCACCACTGAACCATTTCACCGCAAGCATCAAAGTCTTCACAGAAGCCTTCTGATACGCCTCCTCCCCAGCCTTAACTCTCCAGGACGATTGCAACGTAGATCGATAGTTGATACACCAATGACAAAGCTTGAAAGCCCTGCTCCTCCGTCTTAAATTATCAAGTGATGCTGGACGTTTAGGGAATCTCATCTGGCTACCAAAGCAAAGGAAACCAGGCAACGACGTTCTTCTGTCTCGTAAGTGCAGGAGTGGATACAGATTCTCATGTTAAGCATAGTATATCAGAACACCACCATCCATCCAATTAAAGCCACTGCAAACATACAGTACCCCACCTAGTCTTTAAACACTTTTGAAAAGCCTTTTTATTAGCCATATCACACATACAGTACAATACCTAGCTAACTAGCTCAAGAGATGAATTCCACCCCACCCCATCCCATCTGCCTGCATATGTACCTACCTACCTACCCATCTAACTAACCTCACATATATATACAGAGTTTCTTCAGAAAGTAACAATAAACCACAACAAAACACACAACAAAATGCAAAAAAGAAGATAAATTTCTCTCATTTACCTGCCCCACCCTACCCAACCCTACCCGCCAGGTTACCCTCCATCCACCCACAAAGCCCCCACGATCCCTATAGAAACACCCACATCACCCCTTTATACACAAGTAAAGCCCTGACTTCCTCGACGACTCTAGGCCCAGCATCTGCACATCCCATTCACTCAGCATCGCCTAGCAAAACATCCCCACCATTAACAGCAACGACCAGCCCACATCTCTGACCCCCCAGGACCCGATGCCAATTAAGCAACCCCTTGCTCGCTCACGGAACAGGTGATATACAAGTGACAACCCATTCTTGCCCCTGCCTTCCTCCCATGGTCAGCCTTCAAATAACACGATGCAAGACATCTCTCTACGCAAAATACGACTTCCACAGAACGCCCTCCAGATCCTCTAATTGTTCCGAGGTGAAATACTATGATTCTCAACGTCAGCAAGGACTCCACAATACGGCAGCTTCCACCTTCCACCAATCACACATGAAAAAAGGAGACAAGCTTACCTTCTGATCAGTAACCCAAGTATCCTGCCTAGTCTTCTTGAAATCCGCCAGGATGGTCTTGACAGTCTTCCCAATCGCACCTGCATCGTTCGCTGCCTTACTCGCCAGCATCGCCAAAATCTCCGGCATCCACTCTGGCGGCGGTGTCGCATATGGGAAAGCATTAACCAGAGCTCCCAATCCAAGGACCGCTGCATGACGACGGATCACTTGCTGATTGCTGTTCACAGGTGTGCTGGTCCCGCAAGTCTTCTTCGGCATGGGGTTCTTTCGTAAAGCAGCGGTGAACTTGGTCTTGAGGGCAGAGAGGATGTTATTCCGGAGCGCGATAGGTGAGCATCGAATCATGCCTGCCAAGGTAGTGGAAGCTCCCATTCGGACTTCGTGTTGAGTATCTTCAAGCATGTCTGCAACAGCGGCAAAGATCGCTTGTTGTTGTTCCGGTCGAATCAAGAAGATACGGCGGAAATAGATAACTTGCATGTTGATCAGTGTTCTTAACCGCTGATGCCAAGAGGTTGAAACCTTGCCAATGCGAATCAGAGCCGAGATGAAATCACCATCCTCACCTGCACGGAAAGGGATATTGGGTAGGTGACGGTAAACTTGATAGGCGAGTTTCTGAAGTTCGGGATCTTCTTTGACATCCATCATATGAAGAAGCTGCTCCATGAAAACGTCAGGGAAGTAATCTAGAAGTTGAACGCATTCCCAGGACAGTAAAGTTTCATCAAGCCACAACAGGACAGTCTTGCTCCCCGATGTATATGAAGAGGGAGTCTGCTGACCGGGTGTACGCCCACCACGCCAAACCTCGAGTCGGTGGAAGACATCCTTGAGAGTTGACGCAAATGCCTCTGTAGGACTGTACGGTTTGATACCTATTGAGGACGATGCCTTGTTCTCCGCAAGTAATGTAGGAACGTCCTTGAAAGCCTCATAATAACGCGTGCGATAGATTGCAGCAATAGTCTGTCCCATAGCTTCTCTCACTGCCTTGTAGGGGTGGTCGATATGGGCAAGGAAGTCTTCCAAAATCGGCTTTTCATGTCGAAAATGCCAACCAGCGTCTGTAATAGCAAATGTAAGTAGCTGTACTTTGGAGCTTTCTTTGAAAGCCGCATTTGATGACATGTCGAGTCGGAAAGCGACAAGCCAATCGAAGATTTCTCGTGATTGCCGAGGGTCTTTCCCACCAATAATCATGTGCATACATGTCATCCAGTAAGCCATATTTTCTGGTGTCAGGCCGTCGCTGAACACGCCCAGCAAAATTGGCACACCATAAGCCCAAACCTCATCGCGGACCTTCCGTGGACGTTCCATGACTGAGATAAGAAGTGCAGCCAATATTTCAGCAGTAGCACGATGTTGGTGCTTGTCAGTACCATCCTCAAATGTCGTCTTGATCAGGTCTTTGATGTCCTCGAAAGTAGCAGCAGACGAGCCGTTGAGAGTAAGCTCAAAGGTTTGAATGAGGAGCCCAGCATTGTGAACTCGGAATCGATCCGATGAGGTATCACGGGGTTCTTGCTTCATATATCCAAAAAACTTGCTGTACCAATCCCGCGTCAAGAGTGAGCCAATCTGCTTTCGCACCTTGACTTCTAGTTCATCATAATCCTCGAACTCAACCGGACGAGAAGCTAAAGCCTTGAACTTCTTGCCCCATACAAGCCATCCAGGAAAGTCTCGGTCGACGAAGTACTCTGGTAGCTCCGGGCTCTCGAATCCAGCCAGAAATGCTTCCGTCCAGGCGGAATCTCCATTTTCTACTTCGACTTCAATTCTGTTGATTTGGTTTTCCTCTTCCCGGATGAATTTTTCCGCACTATGGCCATAAATAGCACGGGTTTCAACATGATTGAAAATGCGAATGAATGCCTCTGAGTAGCTCATGCGGAGGCCTGGATGGTCATCAATGGCGCCCTTGACCGCCATCTCTATCAGATCAGGTTCCGCAAGAGTCTGGACTCGAAGACCACTGTTCATAATGAAAATGGCGCATCTTCCTGCAATCTTCCAGTGCGAGTTCTTTGATATTTCTATTAGCTTGCGCGACAGTTCGGACTTCTTTCCTTCCACCTTGCTTCTACGTTCCTTGATGAAGCTATTTCTGGTACTAATCCGGACGTCGCAATCCTCCTTGGGCACAATTGTTTCCACAAGATCCTGGCTGATTACCATATGATGTTCCAAAGATTTTCCAAACTCGGCAAGACCACCATACAAAGCCGACCCAGAAACCTTTTGAATTGATGGCTTGTCAACAGAAGCCGATCTGATATACAACTCAATCATGTCTGGAGCAAACCGCCAATCTCGTGAAATTGTTTTGGTGAGACTTCCAAAAAGTAATGTATACAAGGAGCCCTTTATTCTGTCAAAATCGTCCGAGTCGAGAGCCTTACGAAACGTGCTTAGAAGTGGAGGAATGACAAGCGGTCGACCAGCCAAAAGACTCTTCAGGGCAGCCTCCAGCGCTGATTGGGCGTTGACTCTGACTTCCGCATAGAGAGAGACTGATGATGCAGCCAGCTCCAAAAGCAACTTCTTATCCAGATCTGACTTGTGTCTCGCTGAAGAGTTGTGCTTCACTCTTTGGAAATGATATATTCCTGCTCGTCTCACCAGCAGCGGCCTAGGGTAAGCTTTTCGTAGACCGCTAATCTTGAAAGCCCTAATGTCACTTGAATAAAGTCTGGTAACACGTTCCAGCATGTGGGCAGATCGCTCATTGCCAACATCGGTGATCCAGGTGCGATAGGCGGAGTATAAAGCAGTGAAGCAAGAAACGTCGTCTTCTTGCTCATTGACCAGAAAATTGTGTATCTTGGACAGAAGGTGGCCGATATTTTCTCGCAAGGCATGAAGGTGGGCGTAAGTCTCACTATCCTCATCGAGTAAGTAACCTGCACGATAATGAAATTGAGGCCTCGTTTCGGCATCTTCAGCTGCCTCAGCAAGTGGGTTCTCATCCTCGGAACTTGAGTCGGCGCCTTCCATGTTGCTATCGCCATCTCGGTCCTTCTCAGTTTGTCCCGAGGCTTTCTTGGGGTCGAAGAGAGTGGCAACGCCGGAAATGATGAGCCGGATCTGGGAAAGATTTCTTGAAACTTCATCCGACCATTCCTTATTCTTTCCTTTCCTACTAATTTTCGGATTTTCGCTAATGAGGTCCGTCAAGCGTTCTACAGCGGTCACGACTTGAGACTCAAACAATTCCACTGCGAATTCGATTTCTTCCTTGGAAGGAAGATGCCAATCGATCGTGAGATCATTCGGGTCGAGGGATCGACCCCAGTCACTAACATCCAAGCCCTTCTCGATTACAGAAGGCTCATACAGAGCACTATCCACAGGGTAGATGAGAGTGAGATTGAGGAGCAGGTGGTGGATGTAATTCGAAATGTGGATGGTTGGAATTCCTCGGCACTTCTCTTGCATGTATAGCGCAATGTCAAAAAGGTCTTTCTTGTAAGGCATGAGTCCACTACCAACATGGACAATTATCATACTAAGCATGCTAATGTGCCACACTAGAGCGCGATCTCGCGGCAGTACGTCAGTACCACTGCTTCTATCTGAGGCAGCATCATTGTGATCAATCTCATTTCTGATCCCAACAACAAGCATAGGTACAAATATTTTAAGAGTCTTGGCTGGATTGGCCTTGCAGAGAGCATTGCATATAAATGCCATTGCATCTCGAGCTTGATGGACCACATGACCACCCACAAACGCTGCCACCTTTTCCAAAGCTTTGTCGAAGTTTGCGGGCGAGAGGGCAGCAAACAGAGGTGTGAGAGCAGCAGGTAGTGTGTTGATAACAGCTTCCTCCGGAGATCCCGAGCGTACTCGAGCTGCCTCGGGAAGATTTTCCAGCAGGGTGAAAACCTTCCCAAGTAAAGACATGACAAACTCTCCAAACCCGGCAGTGGAGGACCGAAGAATGTTTGCCTCGTCCTCGTCACTCAACTCAGTCCGGTAGTCGATCTGAACATTCGGACCTTCTCTCTCCATGCGCTCCATCTCACCTTGCACCCACTGGATGGCAAGCGTAGTATCATGGATCTCATCATGTTCTTTCGTCAAATCGGCAAATGGTATGCTGTATGCCACAGACTGAATGAAATTGAGAGTGTGTTGAGTTTTGGATAAATCATTTGCATCAATGCCTGGTAAGGCTAAAGCCAAGAGAGCAGTGACATGACACCGCAGCCCCTTGTGTTTGGACATTACATTTGCAGTCATTTGTAATCCACAAAGAGACGATTGTGTGCGATGTACCTCAACCAGACCCTGCAAGGAGGGATAAAATCGTTGGAGAGCTCCAGGTAAAATCAAATGAGGTTCAAGATACGAGAGGCCTTGAATGGCCGCAAAAAAGTAGTTCAAAGGCTTAGCTTTCTTGGAGAACAGACCCATGAACATGACTTCTTTCAAACTCAAAACAAATCGTCTCTTTAATTCGTCGTTGATTCGGCGCTCTGGGGGGGTGTCTAGTTCTCCACTTTGCTCTCGATTCCAACGCATGACGAAAAAGTCCACTAAGTGGAACACTATCTGCGCAAGCATATCGGTCCAGCCACCCTGATTTGATGGATGGAAGAAGGTGTCGATGGACTCCATCATACCTTCTAGATTCGAGAGTATTGATCCCGGCTTGTCAATACAAGAGGGTGATAATGACATAACTATCCATCGAGCAATGGAGTAACCCAGCGGGTTCTTCTTTCTGTCCTTCTCCAGATACACACCAAGACCAGATAGCTGATCGATCCGTGTAGAATAAGGGGAAGTTGCTTGCCCAACAGGAATCTCGGTAAGTCTGAGTAATGCTGTAAAGATAAGATCAGATTGGTCCTTGGTAAAGATGCCATACTCGGAGAACTGAACATGTTCGCAAGTCAACGAGTCCCGGGCCAAGCGCGAGAAGATATCGAAAAACATGACATCAAATGCCTTCGATCTGTTTACCAACGACCATAGGTGGAAGAAGGTAGGTAGATAGTCTTGTGGCTGCAACTGGCCTGGTTCATTGGGCGCGGGGTGTGTAGGCATTAGCATGTTAAGTGCTCCCATCACAATAAAAGCACCGTTGATCTCGGAAGTACTGAAGTAAGGTAAAATCTCATCCAGCATAGCCTGCCTTTCACGAGGATCAAAGTACTGGTATGCAAAAGTACACATGCTGGCAACAGATTTGTGGGGCCTTCTTCGTCCTGCTTGGTGTGTTGGTATCTCATAAGGTAATACAAATGTCTTGATTTCCTTCCATAGTGGTCGCCAATCCAGAATAAGATCATCTCCAGGCTTCAGATAGTGTTTTCTCCTATTCGCATCTGATTAGTCTGGCACGAAACAGCACCGGTTGGGGGTTATGCTTAAGCTCACTTTGTAAGTGTGCGGAACATGCTCTCAAATCTTTCCGCAGCCGCATAATCTACCCCGGGAGCTAGCGCAAGCATATAATACAGCTTAACGAGCTTTACTCGAGTCGTTCGCGTGATCTCGAACTTGAGATTCAGCCATCCCTTGAGCTCCCTCGTCCAGTGTATGGCACCCGGCGAAATATCCTCGGCCTTGATCGCAATATAAAGCTGCTTCAAGATCTCCTCTAGAGCTTCATTTCTCTCGCCTTCCTCTTCGACCTTGTACGGCAGGAGCTTAAAGTATGGATATGTCCGTGGACGGTAGCGCTTCTCCTTTTCTGGATCCACGCCATTGACGCTGTAGCTCAGCCCTGGGGACGTCGCGCGCGATATCGCATCGTTTGCGCTTCCATTCTGCATCATGGTCGGAAGGAATTGTGGATGTGTGCGACCATTCGATATCCCTCCTGCCATGACGGTTTGCGCGCCCTGTTTGCTTCTCGACTCAACCGATCGCTTTGACCCTTTGGTAGGACGTTCTGAATCTGCCATCTCGTCAGCACCATATTGGGATGTTTCTATGGATGACGGAAGCGGAGGAAGGGGTGTTCATACCACGGGTGGAATAGAGTAGGGACGTTCAAGAGGCGGGGGGTGCTGAATGTTGCGAATCCGAAGGGGGACCGACAATAACTCTCTCAAGAGTCCTCGGTGTCTTTGTGATTGGAGATTATCTCCCGTGCCGGGATTGATGATGGGGGAATGGCAAGTTACAGTGCTGTTGATCTGGCGGTTAGTCGCACAAGGTTGACAGCCTTGCCTGACGGACTACTCGTTGCCGTGCCTGTACCTGTACCCGACTGTACAGTATGCAACCCGAAGGTGAAGATCAATCAGTAACCATGCACTACGAGACACAGTGAAGATACGGAACCGGGCGATAGGAATAGTCCAGAGGAGATGAGGATACAATCTGGCATGCAACACAGGTTTGGTGGGTGGTCTTGTGTGGTCTGGTGCTGCTGCTTCTCATTACTCGTATTTGTAAGTGCAGGTGGGTGAGGGTGAATAGGCAAGACCCCGTACGCAAGAGGATACGTGTGGAGGATCTGCCTACCCGAGTACGACTTGCCATCACCCATTCACGCCCGCCACCATCGTCCACATCAGCAGGAGAGCTACCTATACCTATACATATACCATTAATCAACATTCGTCGGTCTGGAGCACGAATTCCACGCATGGCTGAAATGGCCATTAGTCATTCCATGCGAAACCAACGGGGCGAGGATGTTCGCACGAGAACCAAAATCCATTATATCGGGAGGCAAGACCTCTCTGCCAATGTTCTCTATAATACAAGCATCGCGAACCGAGAACGCCTTCCTTGTATATCCAAATGCTCCCACAACGAACTAACTCCCTTACAACCCGTGGTATCCTAGTGCTGCGTATAACAATTAGGAAAACGAAAAATACAGTAGAGACGCCCAACCGAATGGCAAACTGGCAACAGAGCCAAAATAAACATGTTAGTACAATGTCCACCCAAACGACCCCAAAAATATCATGCAACACGGCTATGACTCCGTCTAAAGAAATTGGTGAAAGCCTTCCATTTACCGGATTTGGGTTTTGGATTGAGATAAGGCGCTTTTTTATCTTGCATCACGTCAAGGCTATTATGCCCTTTATGCCCATTGGCGTTCCCGTTTGTGAAGCTATGCTGAAGGGCACTAGTGGGAATATGTGCAGACTGAACTCGGCGCTGCGGCTTCGTCGGGGTCGAATCTGGGGTGCTAGTTGCTGACCCAGATAACGTGAGAGGTCCAGATGGCGTAGGAAAATCAGTCACAAGTGCTTCAGTGGCTCTTCTTTTCGCCGCCTGAAATGTGACCTCCCCTTCACTGTCACTTGCTCGGGTGCTCGCGACGGTACCCATTGCCTTCCTAGCTGCCTCCCGCCTCATGAAGACAGACCCTGTAGATACGGCCATCTTCGGCGTGGTTTTTGTTGTAAATTCTACATCACTTTGGAAGGAAGAGCAAACTGGGCTCCCTCGCACCACCGAGCGTCGAATCTTGTCCCCGAGAACACCCAAACTCCTGGCATTTGATTCAGGTGTACTGGAAAAACTCATTGCTGAGCTGTGGCGAGGGGTACCAGGTGTTAGGGATGCCGATCTGACTCGACACATTGAAGCCGCACGCCCATGACTAGGATTGCTCACTGTTGCGGCCATGGAGTCACTGTATTTGAAGTATGGTGACAGTCCTTGACGTAGAGCGACCCAAATGCTTGTCACCTGTATGAGACTTTCCAAGTTCTCGTCCACGGCGACGGCATTCCTTTCCGATGAGACTGTCTGATCCGAGTTCAGATTTGCAGTGTCGCTAGGATGGATATTGTTCAATGTGGTAGGAGGATATATAGCGGATGAGGAGGACACCGAGACATAGTGATCCGGGATGTCAAGCTTGTTTGGGGTAAGTGTTGCCATGATTGGATGTCTGCGAGTTGCAGGGTTGATAACACTGAAAGTAAATCTAAAGTCGTTATTGATATTAGTGGTGCTTTCAGAAAAGTCCACGCTTTTTCGCATCGTATTTTTCTTCACCCATCTGGCAGTGGTGATGTTCCCATCTCCATCGGTTTTGACGAATTCATAAAGATTGTTGTTCAAAGGGGTGGCTACCCAAACTGCGCCGTCGTTCATTACGATCTCGGTTTTCCCAGACGCCCCACCACAATCTTTTCCCAAAGGGCAGATGACCGCCATCAAATGTCGATTGCCTAGGCTTTCATCATCCGAATCTGTTTCTTCAAAATATTGTCCATCTTCTGTGTCATAATCTTCGCTTTTCAATACCATCACATTGTTCGCGCCCAATTCGCCCTTACCCCGGAACATACGGGGAAATTTGTTTATTAGTCGAGGAACTACTAATGTAGAAGGTACCACATCAATTGCAGGTTTAGGTCTTGCGGCTGCTGAGAGTAGTTGTAATTGAAGCAATAATCGTGGTCGGATCTGTAATAATCGTTGTTTTTGGGTTAACGTTGGCGCAGGATGTGCGATCGAGAAGGCAGTACTCGTTCGAATCGAACGTCTGCGGTGTTTCCGAATGTCAACAGTGGATGTAGTTCCCTCGGAGTTGGCCACAGATCTGCCATCTTCGCTCATTGCCTCCAATTCTGGCTCCTCGAAGTGAACCACGGGTTCACTGGCTGTGGGAGTATACTCAGATAGTGGTCTTGGAAAAACAGGACGTATTCTTGGAGCGGTGGTTTCGTAAGTGGTATTTCTTCGTGGTATAGTAGGTTTGGAAAATGCTGAACGTGCCAATGTATTTCTTCTTTGAGTGGGATTATGTTCGACTTGAGGACTAAATTCATGCCCATGAAGGGACGCTGCGGAAGATAGCAAGAACATTCTGGGAAGTATTCAGTCAATATGGAAAGGGCGCCCCAAGTGGACCAGGGCGCCTTCCGTCGAAGGTATGGCTAGCAGCGAGCCAATAGCGGTCAGCAGTTTGACGATAAACAGATTGTATCGTCCACGATTATCGAATTCATTGGGGCAGGCTGCGTG